AGCCCCTCCGCGCGGGCGGCCTCCAAACGGAGCCCGGTGGGAGGAGCAGTGCCTCCTCCCCCGGGCCCGTTCACTCGGGTTCCTCGGGGTCATGAACTCCCTGAGGTCAAACAGTTTAGACATGTTGCCGCGACTGTCACGTAATAAACTGTTAAAGGGTTAAATAACCTTTATCTGTAGTACAGTAAAAATCGCTGAAACGAATAAATTATTGTACATACTCCACCGGCAAAAAGTTTCGAATCACCTGTCAATTTTCATCAATACTGAATCTGTTACTAATTCTTTGTAGATTTGAAATTAGCGTTGTGGAGATTAGTAGCAATTTACCTCATTTCGACGGATTGGAACGATGAAAAATTCGTTAAAAAATTCTTAAGATTGCAAACTTTTTTCTGAAAATTTTTGCGTAACTTGCAACGCACAATGATTCCAAACTTTTGACCGGTAATGTAGATATCGTTTGAAGTTTCTAAAACGTTGAATTCTCCTTAGACATAGCTCAAGTTGATAATTGTGCTGTCTTTGTAGTATAGCAAGTGAAAATTCGCGAGGAACTTGCACGAGCTTTTAAGATTAAATATCGACGATGTGAACTTCTTGTTGATGGAAACTTGACAATCTCAGGTAAACATTATTCCCTTTCGAGAAGCTCCAGCATTGTCTCAGAGAGATGTTAATAGGGTGTCTGAAAACGATGAGTAGTATTAATCGCGATATTTGAAGTTGACGAATTTTCGTTGCGTTGTGAGTTTTATTTCATTTTATCGATGTAATTTCTATTTTTATCTTCTCCATTCATATCAATGCACTACGGCCGCGTGTTGCATTCCTATGGCAAATATTTTTCTTACCCGAAGCGTCTATCGAATGCTTTTCCTATCAAACGATCGAGGCATTCCAAGTTTCCGCCATGAAGACAGCACGTAGTATTGGATAATTCCAGGAATTCGAATAATTCGAACGGCGGAAGGAGCAAGTGCCAGGCTCAATATGCTCCTATGATTTATTACTTTCGCAGGGCTTTAATTTATATTTTAATTTATAAAACGAGCTTCTAAACTTGGAGCGCCTTAACGATACCGGTGATAAAGCAATTAGGGACTTAATTGCCTAAACTCGCGAATTAATCGCCCTTCCTTTTTTCTTTTCTTGTCATTTTCTTAAATAGTTCGGGAGAAAAGAAAAATCGATACAGTTTGTTTATAATATTAGTCGTTTCACTTTAAACGACGTTACGGTGCTGTGTATTTATTGTACAGAAAATTTATGAATACAGAAATTGAAGGATAGTTGTTGGTCGAAATTTTTTTAACGTCATTTCACATGATTTATGTAGACACTATTTTTTCATAAAAAAACTAAATTCTCGTTTCAGAGTAAACACGCACAGAAATTCTATCACTCCTACAGTAATATAGAAACATTTACGAAAACGATATTAAAACAAATTTACAATAATATAAAAATTGAAGAAAATTATTGAAAATGGGCTGATAAACCTAAATGTTAGCTAGTAGTGCATGTAAATCAAACACCCCTTATTATCAGTTCTTGCGCTCTTAAGCCGTTCATTTTCAACAAACATAACTGAAATTAAACATTTTTGTTAAAACTAATTTTCATAATGTTCGATACGCTTCTGCCAATGTATCACAAGAGCATTATCTACGAGAGAAAGAAAGACGCAAGTGAATCTCTCCAATTCAAGCCTAATTTACACCCGAACAAAATCGTGATCACAATTTAGCGGTCTACTTCGGAATTAATTCACAGTTTTCTAAAATCAGGCACCACTGTCACTGCAGAGTCATAGTCACATCACAGAAAAAGCAAGCACAACCATGCAAAAATTGTATCAACTGTGTATTAAAATCCTACCTAATCCTCCGTATTCCCCTAATTTTCACTTTTCCCCCCCTCAGTTGACAATTTTCTCGACACGAAAAAGATTCAAGGAAACGCCTTTCAGCAGTTTCTTTGTCTTAATAATTCAAATTCTTACGCAGACTGAATTAATGCTTTTTGTAATAATTTGTCAGAAGTGTATCGAACATTCTCTAAATGAATTTCAACGGAGTTATGCTTATCCGCGGGAATTTTCTCGATGACCTGATAACGAAAGAATTCTACACTCCTGAAACTGCGAATGATCTGACGTTTAATCATTGCAAAACGAAATTTCAGAGCCGTAAGGGCTGGTCTGTGCTCGCGGTAACGTGAAGCAGCTGAGGTCGGTCGCGGTTCGTGGAATCGAGTGAAGATTCCCATGCACGACCCGAACCTCCCCGGAATCCCATGGTCGAGAGGAGAGAAGGAGCATGACGTAGCCGTCGTCGAGGGGAGCGCTTCGGATGCTCCGGACTGCCGACTAGGCTCGTATGGAGGGGAAGGACGCAATCACCACCGAAGGCACCTTGCTTCTGAACCTGACCACTGTCGCCACACGAGACACCGACGATTTCTTTGGAGGATTCGCCAGCAAATATTCACGCTACACCGCCACGCAGGTAAGATTGCCGATGACGGCACATCTCTCTGTTCATCTTGCGAACAGCCACTGTTCGTAGGGGAATTGCTGTCTTTTAATGCGTCAGCGCACGCGGTCGAGTCATTAGAGTGGAGCTGTAGCAATGATTGAAGCATAAATGAGGGATATCTTGGGATATCGTGTTTTTGGTTCGTTGGGTCGGTAATGATATATGTGCGGGGTAATGACGAGTAATCAAGGAACATTCTGCGTATTCTGGCTCTGGGTGAAGAATAGTGGAAGTTGTAGATATTTTGGATAATAGAAATATGGTAGAAGTTGTAGGTTTTTTGGATAACACAAATATGGTGAAAATTGTACATTATTTTGATTGATACAAATATGGTAGAAGTTGTAGGTCTTTTGGATAATATTGTAGAAATATGGTGAAAGTTACAGATATTTTGGATAATACAAATATGGTGGAAGTTGTAGATATTTTGGATAATACAAATGTGCTGGAAGTCGTAGATACTTTGGATAATACAAATATGCGGAAAGTTGTAGATATTTTGGACAATACCAATATGGTGAAAATTGTACATTATTTTGATTGATACAAATATGGTACAAGTTGTAGGTCTTTTGGATAATATTGTAGAAATATGGTGAAAGTTACAGATATTTTGGATAATACAAATATTGTGGAAGTTGTAGATATTTTGGATAATACAAATGTGCTGGAAGTCGTAGGTACTTTGGATAATACAAATATGCTGAAAGTTGTAGATATTTTGGACAATACCAATATGGTGAAAATTGTACATTATTTTGATTGATACAAATATGGTAGAAGTTGTAGGTATTTTGGATAATATTGTAGAAATATGGTGGAAGTTGCAGATATTTTGGATAATACAAATATGGTGGATGCTGTAGATATTTTGGATAATACAGATGTGGCGAATGTTGTAGATATTTTGGATAATACAAATATGCTGAAAGTTGCAGATATTTTGGACAATACCAATATGGTGAAAATTGTACGTTATTTTGATTGATACAAATATGGTATAAGTTGTAGGTATTTTGGATAATATTGTAGAAATATGGTGGAAGTTGCAGATATTTTGGATAATACAAATATGGTGGAAGTTGTAGATATTTTGGATAATACAAATGTGCTGGAAGTCGTAGATATTTTGGATAATACAAATATGGTGGAAGTTGTAGATATTTTGGATAATACAAATATGCTGAAAGTTGCAGATATTTTGGACAATACCAATATGGTGAAAATTGTACATTATTTTGATTGATACAAATATGGTAGAAGTTGTAGGTATTTTGGATAATATTGTAGAAATATGGTGGAAGTTGCAGATATTTTGGATAATACAAATATGGTGGAAGTTGTAGATATTTTGGATAATACAAATGTGCTGGAAGTCGTAGATATTTTGGATAATACAGATGTGGCGAATGTTGTAGATATTTTGGATAATACAAATGTGCTGGTAGTCGTAGATACTTTGGATAATACAAATTTGCTGAAAGTTGTAGATATTTTGGACAATACCAATATGGTGAAAATTGTACGTTATTTTGATTGATACAAATATGGTAGAAGTTGTAGGTATTTTGGATAATATTGTAGAAATATGGTGGAAGTTGTAGATATTTTGGATAATACAAATATGGTGGATGCTGTAGATACTTTGTATAATACAAATATGGTGGAAGTGGTAGATATTTTCAATTAAACGAATATGATCCCTTAATTCATTCAGTTAAATGGCACCTTTTTGGAAAAGCGCATTGATTTTCGCGGTAAACTTTACGTCTCAATTTGAATATTACAAACTATATTTCGATACCTCACACTTGGAATTTTCGATTTTTGTCTATTGAGGGAAACACTGTACGCCAGTTCCGAACTTCCATCTTCACCCGAGCTATCCAAAGAATGCTCTAAACTGTACACAGAACGAACTCCCGTGCAGCTTACAACTGCAACCATCTTGATCCCACGAGATTACTTTTGGATAATACAGATGTGGCGAATGTTGTAGATATTTTGGATAATACAAATGTGCTGGTAGTCGTAGATACTTTGGATAATACAAATTTGCTGAAAGTTGTAGATATTTTGGACAATACCAATATGGTGAAAATTGTACGTTATTTTGATTGATACAAATATGGTAGAAGTTGTAGGTATTTTGGATAATATTGTAGAAATATGGTGGAAGTTGTAGATATTTTGGATAATACAAATGTGCTGGAAGTCGTAGATACTTTGAATAATACAAATATGCTGAAAGTTGTAGATATTTTGGACAATACCAATATGGTGAAAATTGTACATTATTTTGATTGATACAAATATGGTAGAAGTTGTAGGTATTTTGGATAATATTGTAGAAATATGGTGGAAGTTGCAGATATTTTGGATAATACAAATATGGTGGAAGTTGTAGATATTTTGGATAATACAAATATGGTGGATGCTGTAGATACTTTGTATAATACAAATATGGTGGAAGTGGTAGATATTTTCAATTAAACGAATATGATCCCTTAATTCATTCAGTTAAATGGCACCTTTTTGGAAAAGCGCATTGATTTTCGCAGTTAACTTTACGTCTCAATTTTAATATTACAAACTATATTTCGATACCTCACACTTGGAATTTTCGATTTTTGTCTATTGAGGGAAACACTGTACGCCAGTTCCGAACTTCCATCTTCACCCGAGCTATCCAAAGAATGCTCTAAACTGTACACAGAACGAACTCCCGTGCAGCTTACAACTGCAACCATCTTGATCCCACGAGATTACACCGAAACCCATTTAAGTTTCTCCCGAAACTTTTGACAACGCGGATACTGTCGATATCGAAGGCAGATCATTGGCCAAAGATTAACGTAAAGACCATGAATAATTATGCTTAGTATGTTTGCAATAAAGCGACCGAAGGCGGACGCCGTTCCGTATCGTACGGCGAAGTTCTTGCCATCGGAAGTTTGAAAGCTGTGCAGTTAACGATAAGTATATAATTAGTTTAGTCCACGTAGAGACGCTTGGGGAGGAAGAGGTAACGGAGGGTCCTCTTTATTAGCGAGTCTGGATAAACTCGCGAATAACTGTATAAATAATTCTCGTTGCCATGGTATCTCGACGAATTTTAATAGAGCGTTAATTGGACGTTGGATACGGCTAATTTTCTCACGATAAAGTTGCCGGGAAAATATAGAAAATGGTTTAACACGTTTATCGCAGCTGCTTTTGTTTTAAGACTGTTGTATTTAGTGCTACGGGATAAATATATTTCGTACTGGACTTTTCTTATTTGAGAGCGTAGAGTAACTGGGTTTCGTTGATATTTCGGTGGTATAGTTGGTGGAAGCGATACAGTGACGTCGTAAAATTAGTCAAGTGACAAGGTTATATGGCAGTTCGAGGGAAATGAGGTGTTAAAGCATAAATTTTAACAGAATTCGGCAGATTTTAGTAAATTTTGGTGGATTTGGTAGATTTCAGCAGAGTTCAGTAGATTTTAGAAGATTTCTTTAAGTTTCGACGGATTTTAATAGACATTAGTAGAATACAGCAGATTTCAATTAAATAAATAGAATTCAGCAAATTTCAATGAAATAAATTTCAGTAAATTTTGGTACATTTAAGCAGATTTCAATAAATTTTCGTAGATCTCAGCAGCGTTCGATAGATTTCAGTAATATTCAATAGGTTCCAGTGGAATTCAGTAGATTTCCGTAAATTTCAATAGACATTAGTAAAACACAATAGATTTTAATAGAATTCAACAAATCACAGTAAATTTTCGGTAGGTTTCAGCAAAGCTCAGTAGAATCCCGTAGATCTCGCCATGCTTTACATTCAGCAAGTGTCCTAACACTTACAAACTTACAATTAGATGTATAGTTGGGGCCACGATATAGCGAGGTCGTAAATTAAACTCTGAAGAATCGGCACCGATTGATGTTGCGGCACTCAAGGCCGTGTGTTGCAGTCTGTTTGAGGGTTCCAACAATAAACGAATGGTAGCATATGATTTGGTACTTCAAGTAGAAAATGGTATTTCATTTACAAATGGAAAATATGTTAATATTAAAGCTACACAATCCTTTTGCATTTTCTATCTGTATATAACACGAGCAGGTAAATGAAGATGTTAAAGACCTCAATAAGACCTTTACTTGTAACCGTACTTCCAAAAGCGGCTTCCCCCAGAGGGAGAAACCCTAATTTTGACGCCTAACCGATTTTACGACCTCGCTATATCGTGGCCCCGACTATACATCCAATTTTTTCACTTCGCTGCAAGATAAAACTTACATCGAAAACAGTCTCGTTAAAATTCCTCTGCCTCTTTCGAGCAATGTTCAAAGGACGTAACACACGACTTGCTTGATTTATCGAGTTTTCCCTAAACAAGTTTCTCCTCTGTATTCTCCGAACAGCGAACTTCTTTCTCTTGAACTAAGCAAACACGTGGAAACACGGAAGATTTTCCTCCAAGTGGATCTTACCTCGACAGGAATCTTAAAAGCTATAGATATTTATGTCTCGCGTCGAGCCTTCCCTTTTTTTCCACTGGTCGTTTTAGATTTCTTCCGTTTTCCCTTAAACGACATTTTCGTTTCTGTCTCGTTCAAGTTCCCTTCGTGTATTCGATGGGGAAAAAAGGACGCAGCTTATATCCTGTCTCGTGCATCAGCGAAGCATGCATTCTTCATCTCGTTCAAAATTCCATTATAATTCGGCGGAGAGGTCCGACACTTCCATAGAACTCGTTAGTCGATCCTTCGTAATCAGTTTGTTTTTGAAATGATGGGTTTAGACGACAGTTTTCTGCGGAAGAATTGTCTGCAAGCAATTTAACGCGATTGTGTCGCTGAAAGTGTGAAATTTTTAACGAATATGCAGCAAAATTACATTTCCAAGATTTGGAAAATTACATTTTCCAAGTCGAGCATCTTTAGAACTTGAGATTTATTTGAAGGTTTGCTGGAATCTTCGATTGTTGTAACGTTACATTTCAGTTAACTCCATATTACATTAGGTCTATGAAGAAAGTTTGCATATTCAAAAATAACAATTCTCTTTAAATAAATTTTGAAGAATATATCGAAGGAAAAAATTTTAAAATAACTGAACCATCTTAAGATAAATCTTGAAAAATATCCTGAAGGAAAGAGTTAATAAGTAACTTAACCATTTTCAAATAAATCTTGAAAGCTATCTCGAAGAAGAAAATTCGAAAATAACTTCAGATCAATTCTCGAAATAATTGTTAAAAACACAAGGCTAAACTGTTACGCTTTTCATTCTCGAAAGTGTTTACACATTTGTGAAACGACGAGAAATATAACGTTATTTCTGTCGTAACTGTTTTATCACATACTTCGATATATCTTTCAATTTCTTCCTAACTTCATCTGTTTACGATACTTTCATCAACTTCGCCATATCTCCAACCTTCGCCATCGTCGATCGCCTTACTTTTTATTTTCCAAACATTATACTCCGGTTCACAGAAATATTACGTGTCGTTCACGTGTAACAACGCGATCCATCGATCGTTTCCCAGGAACAACGAGAAACTCCTTATCGAAACTTTCTCAACATTTCCACTCGCGAAAGAGTAAATCGTATTCTCTAAATATAAAACCTGTACAGACTCTGTTCGAACTCTCGAAAAATATCGTTAAATCGTTGGTTTTAATCGGTGAAATGAACTCTGTCTAAAAAGATATCGAAGTCAATGCCAATTTTCCTCATATTTCATTATAATGTGACCGAATTAAATGGAAATTTCAGTTCTATCACCGACTTCCATCGAGAATCGTTTCTCCATCCACCGAATTGATTGCATATTCGAGAGATTATAGAAGCAGAGGGGACTGGACGGTTTGTCGCGTCGTTAATGCGCGCGTAATTAAGGCGCACCCTTCTGTCGACGACTGTTTCATAGATTGCGTAATCTGATTAAGCGATCTGGTCCAGTTGATGAAATAAAATGCCTAATTTCGAGAAACATACGAGCCACTCGGAAGCTAAAATTAATTAACTCCACTTTTTCATATTCCTCTGATCGTAGGATCGAGGCACGTGCTTTGGGTTCGACGCTAGGTTTACGGGACGCGCCATTTTGACGCATTTCGAAGTTCACGAGGAAAATTACGGGAACCGTTTAAATCATGTGTAAGAGTAAGGAATTACAGGGCTTAAAATAACGTCTGTTCGCTCGTCGATGACTATGTGCGATATACTAATTCGACTAATACTAAAACGATAGCCTAATTCGTTGTCATAAGGCAAGCGATTAAAGAAAGAAGCTGAAAGTTTCATTTATATCTGCTGGAGAAATTGATAATTCTCATTTATTAGTTACTTGTTTCAAAAAAATTCCTAAATTTTCCGTATTTTTAGACAGTTTAGGATGGTGGAAATTTGTATTTATCAAATCGTTTGACATTAAATCGTCAGAATTTAATGGGCTCAGAATTACCCGTTTGAAAGTTCAGTTTGCAGAAAAGTTGCAAAATTGTTGGCCACTGTTAAAAGGTACACGTAACTTATCACTTTGAGGTGTAAAGAAAAAGTCATTAAGAAGTATAAACAAGTGGAGAACTCATTAAGAAGTGTTGAAAACTTCGTTGGTATATATACGTTTACAGCCCTTAACTCAATTAGCGAATCAACTCGAGAGAAAAGAATCGTAGGACGAACTTTGTGAAATCAGAATTTCGTGTGAAATAGTATCGAGTGTTATTTGAGAAGATTAAACGATACTAGATACTTTAACCTAATTAAGTGGCTTAGTAGAATATAAATATTTAAATAGAAATATTCCAAATCGAAATATTTTAAATAGAAATATATTAAACAGAAATATTTCAAATCGAAATATTTTAAATAGTAATATTTTA